CCTCAAACGCCGCCCTTTTCTTTGACAGTTTGGTTTGGTACATATAAAAATAACAAATGGAAGTAACAAAACGGAAGTTTGTTGCTAATCCTTCGCGTCCTTTCTCGGAAAAGGATCCTTCCAGTGTCGAAATAGGTAAAAGAGCTATCCCAATCCATTACATAACTACAAACGGCCGGGGTTATCAAATCAAAACACATATAAAGAACATTGCTAAGAGCGAGACACGCCTTTAGCCTGCACGGAGGGTGTCATCGTGTCCAGAGAAGTCGCAGTCAATGTCGGCACGCTGGTGACGACGGGCCGGAGCTGGTGGCCGGCGGAGCAGGAGGGGTTGACACGAAGCCGCGGCTGGAGACGTTCACGCAGCCAACGACGACCGCGAGCCTCTTCAGGTGAAGGAGATCGATCGTATACGTAGTACTCCATCCATTTCTAAATATTTGTATTTTTAGAGATTTCAAATAGGCTATCACATACGGATGTACATAGACATATTTTAGAGTGTAAATTCATTCATTTGCTCCGTCTTTAGTCACTTGTTGAAATCTCTAGAAACAAATATTTAGGAACGGAGGGAGTAGAAGAGATAGATAGAATAGTCAAGTAGCACCAGAAACTCTCCTGCGATCAGTTCATGGCGCCTTGGCGTGATCGATCTACATCTTGTACAGGAGAAACTTAATTAATCAATTTGGGGAGAAGAATGGGAACGAGACTCATTGCGCCCAAATTTACTCAAGGAATCAATGATATTGGTATCATAATGTAGAGAACACAGCCAGTAATAACATAGCTAACGTGATACCTTCTTCATAATGTTACATTGCACACCATCCACAAAGAAGAGAAAAGCACATCTCCAAGCCTTAACTCTAAAGAGCATACCAAACCATAGCCAGAAACCAAACACAATCCCGGCAATCACCCAATAGCACAACCACGGATCCTCATCTTCGCCATTTCTCTCATTTGGTGAAAGCAAAGTATCTGCACACATGTCAAGAGGAAATCCACAGAGCCCAGAATTGTTGGAGTAAATCGATGGGTCAGTCAGGGTTTGCATTTGACTCCCAGTCGGTATCTTGCCCGACAAAAGATTGTTTGAGACATTCAACGTGTTTAGCCATGATAAGCTCGACATGCTTAGGGGAATTGCTCCTGTAAGTCCATTAGATGATAGATCAAGGGACTCGAGCAAATTCAAATTGCCGATGTCTTCAGGAATGCTGCATGACAGGTGATTTCTTGATAGATTCAGGAATTGGATGCCTTGAAGTTTGGTTAGCTCTTCAGGGATGCATCGAGAAAATAAATTGTCTGACAAATCGATACCAATTAGTAACTTGAGTGCTTTATGGAAAATTATATCTTGCCCCTTCCAGGTTATGTTGATCCTATCCCAAAATTTCATTCCGTGGAGTGGTCTCAGAGTTGGCATATTTTTTGGATCCCTCATAGAGGTCAAGTTTCCGAAGGATAATGGAATTGATCCAACAAAGCTATTGTTTGCCATGTCGAGCAATTGAAGCTGTGAAAGTCGCGAAAGCTCCAAAGGAATTTCTCCAGTGAAGTTGTTTGATCTGAGGCTAAGGATTCTCAATGATGGAAAATGAATCACGGTCCATGGAGGGACAGCACCAAAGAACCTATTGTTCCCGATGTCTAGGGTGACCAGTGAATTGCATCCCCTTAGGACCTGTGGGAAGACACTAGCAAAGCCATTTCTGGCAAGATGCAATGACTTGAGAGAGCAGTTTTGGCTTGCCTTTGCGAGAGGGATTTCACCTAAGAAGGAGTTGTCAGACAGGTCCATAAACTCTAGAGCCTGCAGGTTCCACCAGCAGCCCGGGAGCTTCCCAGTTAGCCGGTTTTTGGACAAGTCCATGAACCATAGAGCCTTGAGATTGCACCAGCACGCTGGGAGGTCCCCGGTGAGCCGGTTGTTTGATAGATCAAGTACCATGATGGAGAGTAGCCCGCAGAGCTGCTGAGGGATGTCACCGATGAGCTTGTTTTTGTAGAGTTGGAGGCTGACGAGGTTTTGCATGTTGCCGAGCTGTGGTGGGATGGAGCTATGGAACTTATTGTTGCCGAGGTCGAGGATGGCCAACGAGTTGCAGCCCTCTAGGTCTGGGAAGGTTCCAGTGAAGGAATTTTTGGCGAGATTTAGGGAAATGAGAGAGCAGTTGTGACTTGCCTTAGTCGCGGGGATTTCACCTGTGAAGGAGTTCCTGGATAGGTCCATGAGCTGCAGAGCCTGTAGATTCCTCCAGCAGTCCGGGAGGTTCCCGGTGAGCCGATTGTTTGACAAATAGAGTATTCTCATGGAGAGGAACCCGCAGAGCTGGTGCGGGATGGCCCCAGTGAGGTTGTTATTGTAGAGCTGGAGGTTGATGAGGCTACGGATATCACCGAGTTGTGGTGGGATGGAGCCGTTGAACATATTGTGGCTGAGGTCGAGGGTTGCCAGCGAGTCACAACCCTCTAGGTGTGGGATGGTTCCAACAAAGGCATTTTTGTTAAGTTTTAGGACGGTGAGAGAACAGTTGTGGTTTGCCTTAGTCACGGGGATTTCACCTGAGAAGGAGTTATTGGCTAGGTTCATGAAATGCAGAGCTTGCAGATTCCACCAGCAGTCCGGGAGATTCCCGGCGAGCCAGTTTTTTGACAGGTTGATGTATCGCAGAGCCTGGAGTTTGCACCAGCAGTTCGGCAGGTTGCCGATGAGCCGATTTTTTGACAAGTTGATGTACTGCAGAGCCTTGAGCTTGCACCAACAGTCCGGGAGGTTCCCCGTGAGCTGGTTGTTTGACAGGTCGAGTTCCCTGACGGGAAGGAGCCTGCAGAGCTGGCGCGGGATGTCTCCGAAAAGGCTGTTGTTGCGGAGGTTGAGGGTCTGGAGGCCGGCGATGTCGCCGAGCTGCGGTGGGATGGAGCTGTTGAAACTGTTGTTGCTGAGGTTGAGTGATACGAGGGAACGCAGCAGCGAAATGCTTGCCGGGATGGCCCCTCGGAGGTTGTTCCCCCAAAGGTTCAGAACGGCGAGCGCCGGGAACGCCGTGGTGTCGAGCGTATCGAGTCCGCCCAAGAGATCGAGTCCCTCGAGCCTTAGCTCGAAGACGCGTCCAATGGCGTCGCAGGACACGCCGACCCAGTTACAGACCGGCACGTCCCTGGTCCAGTTGGAGAGCGCGGCTGCCTCAACGAGGCTGGCCTTCCATGCCAAAAGGGCATCGCCCTCCGATGGCAACACGGCAGCCGTCGTCGCCGGGATGGCTGCTACCAGCAGGAAGAGCGCGGCGGTGCCGGCGAGCTGAGCGTTGGCGCCTCGTCTCCTCATGTCCCGGACGTACCAGGAGTGAGAATTTTTTGTGTTGTTGCTGGGATGAGAAGGGTTGAGTAGGAGAAGTTTCTAGTCGGCACGGCAGAAGAGAGCGCACGTATATACAGAGAGATGGACCGGCCGGCCGGCGCCAAAAATCATAAGCAAGTTGTTAAAATTTACACCAGTGTGTACTTGCCCTCGTCACCTGTATGCCTACGACAGGCAGCGCGACAGGGCGACGAATGGCGCATTATCAGACTTATTATTCAATGCAAAAAAAAATATCAAACATCACCGATCAAGGACGACAAAGTCAGAAGATCCCCGGACGCCCGCCTGCCCTCCATACCCAAGATACCGGGCTCCCAGTCCTGTCACATGCATGGGCATTCGAGAAGCCTAGGCTGAGTACATTTGTGCTGATTTTTTTAAACACAATAGCTACATGTCAATCGCCTGATTTTTGAATTTGGGGCCAGTTGATTTTTGGTTGAACGGAGAAACTACCAGAGGGGAGGAAGAACCTCGCTGGACAGGCTACCCCATGATCTATCTTAGGGTGGGGGTGGGGGAGGCAGCACGGCGGTTGTCGGGGGTGGCAGCAAGGGGATGGTGAACGTTTGCCGGCGAAAAAACCGGCGATGCCTGGGCCTAGGAGGATGGCCGGGGCGGCGGCGGCACGGCAGTGGGAGGAGGTTCCAGGGAGGGCGGGGCAGCGAGCCTACACGGTAGCGCCGCCGGCAGCAGGGGTGGTGGCCAGCCGTTCGGCCTGTGGTTCGTAGGGCGGTTGGAAGAAGATGATCGGAAGGTTGAAGACGACTTTACAGCCGTTAGATCAGAGATCGAGGATGGAGAACAGTCGAGTGACCCAAATTGGGAATTCAACCGACTGGCACCCAGCCAGTCCCTTTTTTAAACCATTTACTGCATAAAAATACTTACGGGTGTAATTAAAAGGAAGTTTGTTGTTACTTCATTTCTACAAGCATCAAAGCAATCCCAGAGCAGCTTCATCCATATATAGTCCGCCAATTACACCCTCTGATGATCTCCCTATTACGGGGGCCTCAAAATTTGGATTGGTAGTTCAACTTAAAAATAAAACTCTTGTTCCTGCGACGCACCCGGCGTGCGTCACGGGAACCCTAGAACCGCCACCGGCTAAGGGTTCCTCACCTCCCTCCTTTCACCGCCGTCGGGGGGGTGAGGGGGATGTCCACCGGGCGAAGCCCGTGCAGTGTTGGCAATGGCGGGACCTCCTCCCCCTCGCACACGGGTCTCAGGTGGCGCAGGGCTTCCCTGCAGGGTGCGAGCGTGCCTTGTGGCTGCGCGGGCTGCAACAACGGCGCCGGCGTGGTGCCTGATTAGTTATTCAGCGACACATACCTTATACACAGATCGGACATTCAGCAACACATACTTTATACATGAGCGCATGATTTATACCCAGTTTAGTTAGAGCTGATGGATTACTTGTTCTAGAGTAGTCTTATAGACTAATCAATGTCCATATGTAGCAATCATGTAGGGCGCCATCATATAGTCCCTCTACTTATACGGTTGTGCTATAAATGTCGCGAGTTTTATTTGAATGCATGCATGTGTGCATAGACGTCGTCGCGTACACCGATAACTCTTTGCTAGCTCGAAGCGGATACAACTAGAACTAGAACTAGTAGCCGGTTACGGGCACGGCGTCTTTTGCTTCGCCTTCGGCACCGGCTTTCGGTGGCGGTGGCACGGGCTTCGGAGGTGTGGGCGGTGGTGGCGTCGGCTTCGGACCCGGGTTTGGCCCGGGGTAGGGCTGGTTGTGGAAGCATTTGTTCCCGCATGCTTTGTACCAATCCCCTCGTTTACCTATAAAATCAAAGGCAGCCGTGTTGGTTATATACTACGTATACATATACTATAAGAGTAGGATGCATGTTTCTTGTTTGCAGGGTGGTATATATATACGTACATGGTGGCAGGGTGAGGCAGGTCTCGGAGATGCACATCTTGTAGCACACCGGCGGCAGGTCCTTGTAGCAATCGACGATGCACTTCTTCTTGCACTCGAAGTATTTCTCGTAGTAACCCTCGCCGTCACTTTTGTTGCCACCTTTGTAATCGTCATAGCCGTCAGCAATGGGGGCGCCTGAACCATCGGTTTTGTGGATGGCAGCTAGAGTGCCGACGGTGGAGTGTACAACAACTGCAGTACCGTCAGTAGAGTTGACAGGGACGGAGGCGGCCGCTGCACCATTGTCGACGGCTGGGTGGGCGGCTGGCTGAGAACGGTTGACATCGGGGGCGGGGGTGACACCGTGGCCGTCGTCGCACGTGTGCATGCAGGAGGAGTAGCACGGCCAGCACTGGGCTTCCGTTGCGAGCTGCGCGGGTTGGGGGTCCGCCGCCCCTGCCGGGGCGAAGAGCGTCGTCACGGCCAGGAGGACGGCGATCTTGACCGCCGCCATGGAGACTATGCTGCTACCCTGGTGAGGTGTGTGGGGGACAGGGGATGGAGATGGATGGGGTGTGGCTGGCTTTACAGGAGGTGGTATATATATATGGTTGTTCGCGGGATGGGACCTGAACGTGCATGCAGCACGCGTCCGGCTGCGGCAGCTATACGTGCCGGATCCGGCTTGCCTCCCATCTCTGTGCTCTCATTCGTGCTCTCACTTCATTATACGGTTGTTCTTTTTCTTTTTTTCTTTTTAATCTAATCTTCTCCCTTCTGATTTTAAGAGGGTGGGGCCGGGGCTTATTTTGTTCCAATCAAACCAAGCCACATAGACGGAAGTACGGATGGGCATACGACGGGGGAGCAGACAAGTCTCATACGTGCCTCTCCAACTCCATGCTTAATTTGCGCGTGGCCGTTTCACATGCGCCGTGCATGAATGCATTTGGGTACCTCCGTGCCTAATTTGCTCGCGCCAGCTTCGCATGCGTCGCGCATGAATGCATCTGGCTAATTAAGTGGCCGTAGCAAAGCTAGGCAATGTTATTTCCACCAGCTTTCCTTGTAGTAACAAGACTTGTATTATGCTCGTCTTTTTTTTTGAGAGAGAGAGAGAGGAACTATGCTCGTCTTCTAAAAAGAAAGTGCATCCCATTGTACATATCTCCTTTTCTCTCCCTGTAGAAAGAAATTCTCTCATTGTCTCTTTTTGTTCCCTAGTCAAAGCTTGACCTTTCTTTAAGTCAAATCTTAATCTTGACGCGAAAAGCAGTTCGACTAGCAGAAATTAATCATTTTATTTAGAAAATGTTAATAATAGAAGGTATCGTTCTCCAAGATTTACAAGCATATAGTATGTGTACATGTTTTTAGTCTTCATTCTTTCTTAGGTGAAAAACAAGTATAATACATGTGTACCATGCACACTATCTGAGGGCAACTCCAATGAAGAGACCCATTTCGTCCAGATGTGTCATTTAGATCCACATGGGCAAAGACCCATTTCGTTCAGATGTGTCGTTTAGATCCACATGGGCAAAGACCCATTTTGTCCAGATATGTAGTTTAGATCCACATGGGCAAAAGACACTGCCCAACGCGGCGATTCATTTCGCAAATATGTATGTATGTTGTATGCGGGGACACAAATCTGCCCTAAATTTGGGCCGGTCCACATGGACAGTTGACGCACGTGCCTTTCGTCCACCCCGGCCCCACGCGCCAGTGGCCCAACTACCACCGAGCCATTCCTTTTTAAATGCAAGCATGAGGGGGTAACCCTATCCGTGCGCGCCCATTCTTCTCCCTCCATCTCC